CTTGGTACAAATAGATTAATTCTTTCATATTTACATAACTGAGCATTGTTCAAATTTGCCGAATTGGTCAATAAACTTCATAAGAATGCTTCCAAAATTTATATAAAAGCCCTATGATGTTTATTTAAATACATCATGTCATTAAATGTGAATTTAAATTCCTATTGAGAAATTTTATCAAACACCTTGATTGTATCTTAGAAAATCATAGGGAAAGAGTGTGCTATTTGGTTCTGGAGTTGATCCAAAATTTAATGACAATTTTTTTTTTATGTATTTATACACAAACTCATCAAAATATATGCCAAACCCGTTTCAAATATAAATGAATGAAAAAACTACTCAAATTCAAGTTAAACCTCAAAAACAAAGTTTATTCAATATTACCTTCAAATTCATGAGTGTAATTCTTTGATGACTTTGATTCACGATATTATTTTACCTACTTTGACCATAGATAAAAATCGACCAAATATCAACAAAGATTTACCAAAATTTAAGCATTTACCGTGCATTTTATTGTTGCTCAAGATTTGCCCCAAAATCAGCCAATCGTCCAAATGGGAAACTCTAGTTAAAAGTACAAAGATGCAACAACATTAAATTGGTGGGTGAGGCTTTCTTTTTACAAGATCATTGGAGTCGAAGTCGGAGTTGAGAATGGAGATTTCTCAAGAGTTTTCTGATTTAGGGATTTCCCTTCTGATTTGGATTTTTGTTGTGGGTGTTAAGGTTTTGAATGTATTTAATACGGTAATAATAGTTTTAATTAATTTTAAGGTATTAACCAAATATTTAGTTTTTATAGGGTACTATACCTAATGTTCCCTTATTTTATATTCTAGTAATGGATCCGGTATCTACACATATTTAGGCTCGTGCTTTACTTAGATGCCCAAAGTCTAATAATTTCAATTAGATCACTTTAAACGGATTTAACTTTAAGATGATCATTATACACAATTAATTACATATAGGTTCATGACAAATTATTTTCCCATCACATCTCACAGGTGAATTTAAGAAGAAATATGAACGTGAGCCTGACTAAATCTTTAGCCATAATGCAAATTCTGTTACGTACATGAACGTGAGCCTGACTAAATCTTTAGCCATAATGCAAATTCTGTTACGTACTTTTCTACGTTCTTTTTTTTTCTTATATATGAACAAAGGTGTCCCAACGTGGCATCTGGATCTTAGTCGATATGGATCTTCGTCTATTTTATTATTCCTTTATTTCTCTGTGTATTTCTATGGGAGCTTGACATGGTACTGGGATCACTTATACTGCCTACCGCAGGGTTTGTTAGAACATCCCAATTGTGCTTTGTGGCAACAAGGTTGTTGTGAAGAACTGACAGGTGAAGGCAAAACAAGTTATGTTCCACCGGAAATAGAATTTGCAGTACTGTGAAATCCCGGCAAAAAGTAACTACAATTTTGAGAAGCCTTTCATGTGCCTTGCCGGGAAACTTGCTGGGTTAGTAATATAATCCAGTGACTGGTCTTGTAAATCAATTGAAAAAGATGGTTTTAGTCGCCATTTTCCGAGTCAATTGCATTGTTTGCAGTTTGAATTGCTATAGGTGAATGTTGAGCTATTATTTTTGTACTATTGGAGTTGTGGAA